ATATACTTGGAAAATTGAACGTTGGCTTCAAGAAATTAACTTCCTCAGTCTTTCTTGTTAGCAAATTTTTATTTCTGTATTTAATTCTGTTATTAATGGTGAATAACTGCTTTCACTTTGGCAGTCTGCCAAGCACTTGCTGATTTGAATATAATGTCTTTTTAGCCCTCTTCACCTAAATTTCCAGAAGACTTCGATGATGAAGAGCATACTAAGCAGGTAATTTTCTGATGCTTTAATTACCATGTCTTCAGTCTTAGGTTTTAATTACTGTTTTTCTTCTTTTTCAATTAGTAATCTTCTGCCACTTGTTCTCTTGTGTCCTGGGGAAAATGCAGGAAAAATATCAAAGATGAAGCACCAACAATGTTATTTAGACTTGAAATACACTATAAAAATGCCTAAAGCTGGTATAGAAAATTAACAAACTACAGGGTTCCTTCATGTGGTTTATTGTGCTTTTAAAGTGCTATTCGGACCTTTGGCTTAGCTGTTGGGAAAAAAAAATGCTTTTATAGCTCATTATTTTAGATAAAGCTTAGAACTTTAGAGAAAAAATGTAATTTAAAGTAATTTTGTTCTGGATTGTGTTTGAAGTAGCTCAGACGTGGAGAAAAACGTTGCATTTTCTAGATGATCTGATGTAGTAGTTTATAGCAAAATAATATAACCCATACACCTTAGATACCTGAGTGTGTGTGTGTGACTTATGTCAGAGGCTAATTTTGGCATCTAAATACTATGAAAACATAACATAATTATTAGTCAATTTATGTATTGCGTCACTTTTTTTCTTTTTCTTTTTTAAACTTCCAGAATGCATGTGCTCACCAGAAAGGGGTGGGGGTGGAGGCTGAAAAAACACCACCACCCCCCCGGTGGAATGGCCGGCCACCCTGCAGTCTCTTCTCCTCCATTCTGTCAAGATTTGGGGCACACACCCTCATGCACCTGGCATGTCCATGTGGGACCCTGCTGCCTTTAACCACCAGGCCGCCAGGTGGCCCTGTATTATATTTCCGGTGTGCCTTTTTTCTTAGTGCCAGTTATTTATTTTGATGAAACCTTTAGTAGTTAATACTTTTGACATATAGAAGTTTATTCCTTAAACTGATTTTTGATCATTATGATCAAGACAAACACCTTATTTAAATTTTTTTCCTTAGGTTTTTGCCACAGAGCATGTGCGTTCACCAGAAAGAGAGAGAGATGTGGATGCAAATGGCCACGCCACAATCCCTTCTCCTCCATTCTCTCAGGATTTTTTTAAATAATAATTTTATTTAACTTTATTTAATTTTTAATCTTGGCCAGAGAGGGACAGAGAGAATATGCACACACGTGAGAGAAGGAAAGTGAGAAAGCAAACCGCTAGGTCTAGGACTCGAACTGCAGCCAGCCCTGTGGGAGTCCAGAGCCCTTAACCATCATGCCACCTGCTGGCTTCTCTCAGAATTTTGGGCACACTCACCAAGTGTGATTGTCAAGCCACCAGGTCCAGGACTGAGTGTGATTGACCATGTGAGAATCCAGCACCTTAACCTCCATGCTACTCTTCCCCCTTATTTAAACAATTAACACTGAAACAGAAACATAGAACATTGCATTGATTTGCTACTTCTTGCTTATCCGTTATGTAGCGGAATGAACATGCTACTTCATTTTACTAGACTTTAATTTTCCTCATTTGGAAAATAAAGGGATTAAGTACCCTTTATTTATATTAGCACTAGCATTCTGTAATTTAGTAATACTTAACATGACATTTATTTATGGCTATAAGGACATGTTCTGCTTCATCTATTAATTAGTGGAGAACCGCTAGAAAATACTGTGAGTCATGATTTGCGCCTTTGGTTAGCTGTGATTATCTGTTTGGACTGAGTCATAGCCCATGTTTCTGGGTGTCTAAAGTGCATGTTCATTTCACAGCTTTCCCGTAATAGGTCATTCTCATTCACTACTTGCATTATTTATTTATTTAGAGGACTTTTTGCTGTAGGGCACATGGGCTTGCTGTAGGGGCAGAGAGAAAGAGAGACAGAAAGCAAGAAATCACCCCCCACAGGAGATAGCCAAGCCTCAATCCCCTCTCCTCCATTCTCCCCTTGGAATTTTGGGCATGCATGTACAGACACCTGGCATGAGTTTCAAGCTCTACTGGGTCCAGGACTCAAACCACAGCTGGCCACTATGCCATTGGCTAGTCCCTAGTATCAGATATTTATTAGGTGCCCTTGAGTGTCTGATTTCGGCTACATGAAATCAGCACCAGAACCACCACACCACATTCCACAGCATGCTGTTGCTTTTTATCTGAAAGAGGCAACATAAAAAATGCTTATGGACTGAAAAGGACATCATTTTTGCATACACAGAAATTAAGCCGTGTAACAGGGACTGTTATGCCGAATAATAGGATTTTTATCAGTTTAACGTAACATAACTGTCACAAAATTTGTATCATGTCAGTTTCATTCTTCATAATAAAATTCTCACATCACACAAAAGGTAATTACCTATATTTTTGTATTAGTCTAAAACAGGAGTAGGGGTGGGGTGGGGGAGCAGTATTTTAAAGGTAAGTAATTAGGGCCTGCCACTGGCATGGTTGTTGAGGCAGCTGGATTCCACATAGCCAACTACACAGTTCAAATCCTGGACCAGGTGACTTGAAAAACACACCAGGTGCATGCGCATGTATGCCCCAAATTCCATCAGGAGGTAGAGATGGAGGAAAAGAGATTACACATGACTCTTCTCCATGGGGGGATTCTTTCTCACTTTTTCTCTCTCTTTCCAGCAAGCTCATGTACCCTCTGACAAAAATAAAATTTAAAATTTTTGAAGTGGAGGAAAATTATAAAACCAAAATGTTTTACATTGCTTTAAGAATTCCAGGATGGGGGCCAGCAGATGACATAATGATTATGTCACTGGACTCCCATGTAGTCAACAGCTGTTGGAGTCCTGGACCCAGCAGCTTAAAACTCACTCCAGGTGTGTGTGCATGCATGCCCAAAATCCTGAGAGAAGAATGGAGAGGGGATTGTGGCATGGCCATCTGCCCTGGGGGGTGACTTCTTGCTTCTGTCTTTCTGTCTCTGTCTTTCCAGTGAGCACATGCACCCAATAGCAAAAATCTCGATTAAAAAAAAAAAAATTCCAGCAGCTACTATGCTTTATAATTTCTGCTGCAGCTAGCCATCTGAAGCTATTTGTCTTTTCTTACATCTTTTTATAAAATATGTTGTGTTCATAAGGCTTATTTGCTTTCATGTATGTATTAAGTTTTGGGTTTGTTTGTTTGTTCAGTTGTTTCTGATGATAAAATATAAAATGGTCCTCAGTTATTCTTTTCTTGTTTTGAAGCCTGGGTCTTGCCATGCTACAGCCTTCCTACCTTAGCATTTCCCTGGGACTACAGGTACACACAACCAGGCTCAACTTTAGACTAGGCTAGAAGTTGAACCCAGGCCTTCCATGTGTCCCAGCCTCTGGCGCACAGCATCTTAGCAGTGCATGCACTGCAACTGGGCCAGCTTCCACCTTTTAAGAAATATTCACTACATCATCACACATTTCTGTGGCCATAAGAAAGTACAGAGAAAAAAATGATATAGTCAGAGATTTCAGAAAAACCAATTGAAATGCACCAACCAAGTGCCAGAGGTATGGTGTCTTTTCTTTAAACTGACCTCTGACCCTTCAGGAGCATTCCTAGGCCTTATTGGTTGCATCCCATCAGCAGTGTGCCTGGATGTCATTATAGAAATCTGTCATCTCCTGGCTGTTGAACCACGACCCAGCAAAACGGCCCACAGCCACAGAGCTGCTCAAGAGTGAGCTGCTGCCCCCGCCCCAGATGGAAGAATCCGAGCTGCATGAAGTCCTGCACCACACCCTGGCCAACGTGGATGGGAAGGCCTACCGCACCATGATGGCCCAGATCTTCTCTCAGCGCGTCTCCCCTGCCATCGACTACACCTACGACAGCGACATACTGAAGGTGAGCTTAAGCCACACTCACAGAGGGAGGTTTACCCTGTCAACAAAAGGATCCAGTCAGTTCTTCCTTTCTCATGGATCCTTCTAATGCCACCAGCATAAGTTCTTAGTCTGAGGTCCAAGAACCCCTCAGAGTACATGCACATGCACCCTGTGTGCATACGCCTTATTCTGGGAGGGAGAGCCCCACTTTTAAGCATTTATTTGAAGGAGTTCTTGATGCACTCTCTTCCCAACCCACCTGAGAGATTAATAAGAAATATTTTGAACATTATCTTTAAAATTCAGTAGTTTGAAATTTTGTTTATTAACTGTCAAGAACTATGGAGTATGAGCAAAAATTTTTTGATATGTAAAGTAAACGTTAGTGGAAAAATGTAAAAATAAATAAATAAATGTAAAAAACAAAAACAGTACATTTAGAAACTGAACTCTGGCCACACTGTCTCCAGCTGAAAACAGCCCACTGGCTCAGATCGGGGTGAGTGGTAGAGTAGAGCTCCCACTGCCTCGGGAAGCTTCTGGCAATGTGGATGCCCAGGCCCCGCAGCAGATCCTGTGGCTCAGTCTCCGAGCATGTCTAGAACTTACTTAAAAGCTCCTAGGTGGTTTTTGAAGTCTTGCCAGCTTGCCAGTTTGGGGAGCCTTTAATGTTTTATTTCTTAAAAAAAAAAATGTCTACAACAATATAGCAACATGTTAAAATTCAGTAAAGTTGGGTGGGCAGATAATAGATATTATATTTTCCATGTGTTTCTGTATGCTTAAGACATACTTTTTAAAAATAGAGTAGCAGAGGAAGTAGTGGTAAAACTTGTACAAGATCAGTATAGAGTTTAGAAACCAAAGTTTTTGCTGGATGACAATATTAGAAAGTATTTGCAGGATTATAGGTGACTTATTACCTTTTGTCTTTTTGCTTATCTGATGTTTCTCAACTTCTGTAGTGAAATGGTATTACTTTTGTAGTGAAAAAGATAAAAAAGAAAGTTCTTGGCAAAATTAATAAATGCTATGTAGCTTTTCTTTACTTTTCTTTTTTTTTTTTTTGAGAGTTTTTTTTGCTATAGGGCACATGTGCGCGCCAAAAAGACAGAGACGTAGAGACGGAAAGTGAGAAGTCTCCCCCAGGGAAGATGGCCACACCACAATCCCTTCTCCATTCTTCTTTCGGGATCTTAGGCACTCATGCACACACGCCTGGCTTGAGTTTAAGCCACTGTGTCCAGGACTCGAACTGCAGTCAACTACATGGGAGTCCAGCGACATAGCCATTACGCCAACTGCTGGTCCCAATGCTATGTAGCTTTCAAGAGGCCTATGCTGAATCCTCTTAGTATATGGGAAGGGGCCTTGTTTAGTTTTTTTTTTTTTTAAGAATTATTTTATTTAACTTTATTTATTTACTCATTTATTTCTTATTAATTTGACATATTAATTTGACCAGAGAGGAACAGAGTGAGAGAGAGAGAAAGTGAGAAAGCAAGCCACCAGGTCCAGGACTCGAACTGCGGTCAGCCATGTGGGAGTCCAGCACCCTTAACCACCATGCCACCTGCTGGCCCCCGGGAAAGAACCATTTTGTGGTTAGAGATTTGATCTCTCCCCAGTATCCCTGGGAGGCCTCGTCTGATTGTTTGAGCAACTCTCTCTGAGAGACCTCTCTGCATGCAATTACGAGATTGGACTCGGAATCCAGGTGGCCTTTCCATTGCTGGAACGGTAAGCTCTTGCATTTAGAAGCAGGATATACTGTAAAACATGTAGTCTCCTCTCTGCATGTATTCAGAGAGGGATCACTTGTTGAGATCTCTTTTCTGCTCCTGGGAATAAGGAATATAGGCCTACTGTGAGCCACAAAGTAATATTTTAAAGGAACCCTTTGATTAGGCTTTAGTGATGACATTTTAATTGGTACTATTTTAGGGCAACTTCTCAGTTCGTACAGCCAAGATACACCAACATGTCTGTGAAACCATCATCCGCATCTTTAAGAGACATGGTATGTCCTTTTTAAAAAATTATGTTCTTTCTCATATAGTTTATTTTCATCATTAGAAAGCACTATTAGTAGATTTGGGTACAACCTTGTTTTACTTTTAAAATCAGTTACAAGTAGTTGACATTATATGGAATTTTATACTTATTTTTACAGTTCTACTTGTTGAGGAGAAATTGATTTGAATATTAGACCCTTGTCACTAAACTGCAGTGGAATTATGGGGTCATAAATATGACTATATTGACAAATTTAGCCATAGGTGAGCTCCCCGTTTGTAAATGTAGAGCGTTGAAGAAAAACTGATGATGATTTTAGCACTCCCAGTAGCGGCCCCACGTTTGTTCATTTTAGGTTGTTTCCTAGGAAGAGTGAAACCTGAGGATCAGTTATTTTTTCTGGTTTGGTGTAGGAGCTGTCCAGCTGTGTACCCCGCTACTGCTTCCCCGAAACAGGCAGATGTACGAGCACAACGAAGCCGCCTTATTCATGGACCACAGTGGGATGTTGGTGATGCTTCCCTTCGACCTGCGGGTGAGGCTGGAACACTGCTGGCATTCGGGAGACCGTGTTTGGACACATGAATGACATCTCTGTTAAAGGACTGCCCCACCACTCCTTTTTTCCCCTAGCCTTATATTCTAAGTGTCACCTTTAGGACATGTGTTCTTTTTTAGAGAGATTTGTTTGCTATAGGGCACGTGTGCTCACTAGAGAGACAGAGTGACAGAAAGCAAGAAATCACACCCCATGGGGGCTTGGCAATGCCACAGTCCCTTCTCCTCCATTCTCTTCTTGGGATTTTGGGCATACACACACACACACACACACACACACACACACACACACACACATGCCTGGCATGAGTTTTAAGCTGCTGGGTTCAGGACTCAAACCATGGTCAACTACGTGAGAGTCCAGTGATGTAACTGTTATGCCATCTGCTGGTCCCAGGACATGTTCTTAAGGTATTACCAGGACAAGCAAGTTACTGAAGTTTAGTGAATGTCTGACCCAGAATGTGTCCGCCTTGCTAAGCACAGGTGTGTATAGCCCTAGGAAGCAGAACCTCACGTGGTAAGTGCCAAAGGTGCCCCTCGGGTTGAGCGCCACAGAGTGACCATAGCAGGTCAATATGAATGTCGGGTTTTTGTTTTGTTTTTTGTTTTGTTTTGTTTTGTTTTGTTGGGGGGGGGGGAGGTTTGCCATAGAGCCTGTGCACTCACTGGAGAAAGAAAAGGTGGAGAGGGAAAGTAAGAAATCACCCCCTGAGGGAACGGCCATGCCACAATTCCTTCTCCTCCACTCTCCTCTAGGGATCTTGAGCATGTAAGCACACGTACCCACCCTGTTTTTGAAGTCACTGGGTCTGGAACTTGAACCACACAGTCAGCCATATGGAATCCATCTGCCTTAACCAACAGGTCACTGGCTGGTCCAAAATGTCATTTTTGTTTTGTTTTTACTTCCTAGTTAGATCTTCATTTGCATACTAGTACATGAATGTCTGGAAATTGCTTTTTCTTTTTTTTTTTTAATGAACAGGAGGGGCAGTGGGAGAAAGGGACATAACTTTTATTTTTTATTGGCAGAGGGCATGTGCACTCCCAGACAGAAGACAGAAAGCATTACCCAAGGGGGTAACCCAGTAATCCCTTTCCTCCACTTTGCCATGCCATCAGGATTTTGGACATACATGTACATGTGCCCAGGATGTTTTTCATACTGCCAGGGCTGAGATTTGAACCACAGTCAACTATGTGGAACTTGGCTCTTCATGCACAGAACTTTAACCACTGAACTACAGGGTTGGCCTTAGTTTTTTTTTAATGATAGAGCACATGAGAGAGAGAGAGAGAGGCAGGCAATGTCAACATTCTCATCCTGGCACAATATCCTTTCCCTAGCCTTCTAGCTCCTCAGGATTCTGGATTCCTGCACACATGCTGGCATGTTTTTAGACAACCCAAGGATCTCAACCCACAGTCAGCTATTTATATAGCTCCAGCCTTGCACCATAGTAGCTGAGCCAGCTACTTGTATTTCTGACAGCCTTTTCATGTCGGCATCCTCCTGCCCAACTTCTAATTGGCTAGAACTTCAGGTACATGCAGTCAGGTGCCTGTATTCAGGTTGCTCCAAGAACCAAACCAAACCCAGTTCCATGGGACTTCCAGCCCCTCAAGCAGTTGTGCTACCCATGTGCCACCAGAGCTGGGCATAGACGATTATATTCTTGTAATAACAAGAGACATTGCTGATTGGCTGTACTGAGTTTCGCCCTTGCTTTCTTGCTTCTTACCCCCAGGGCTGCCTTTGATGGCAGCAGTCTTAGAAGTCATTCACTTACATAGTGTTGGCTGCCAGCAAGCTCCTCTGTGGCACTGTACAGCAGGGCAGAGGAAAGCATTTGAAAGGTAGTGAAAACACCTACAAGTATAAACACAAGCAAAGGATACCAAGCAGTTCTCAAAAACAAACGCACATGGTGTATTCTGAAAAGATGTTTAGCCTCACTAATAAGGAAATGCAGAGCTATCTCGGCTTCCCCCATAAGACAGCATAAGTATTTAATATCTTCCATAGATGATAGGGGTGTAGGAAAATAGGAAATTTCATTCATTGCTGGTAGGAGTGTGAATTGCTAAACCTTTAGAAAAGTAGTCTGAATGTAGTAGTCTAATGAATTTTTTTCTAAAATTTGATGCACATACTATGCTTTTTGAGCTAGCATTTCCACTTTGAGAAATGTATTCAAACAAATAAAAACATTACAGCAACTTCTCCATAGCCTAGTGGTTAAAGAATCGGATTCCAAATGGCTGACTCTGGTTTGAATCCTGTCCCCAGCAGCTTAAAAAACACTGGGCATATGTGCATGTATGTCTAAAATCCCAACAGGATAGAGAAATGGAGGATGGGGGATTATAGTATCACACCTCATTGTGCTTTCTCCCTCTCTTTTTCTGCCTGTCTCTTTGGTAAGTTCATGCAACCTCTGGCAATTAAAAAACAAACAAAAAACCATATTAGTGTTCAAATGTTAAAAGGATACTGTCATATCATGATGGTCAAAACTAAGAACTGCATGTTCATCAAGAAGAAAATGGTAAATAATTAGTCATCAATATTATACATTATTAAGGAGCCATTAGAAAGAAAATGTAAGGGAATCAGCAGATGTAATGGTTGTGTTGCTGGATTCCCACATGGTCGACCATGATTCAAGTCCCAGACCCAGCAACTTAAAACTTAAGCCGGGTGCATGTGCATATGTGCCCAAAATCCCAAGAGGAGAATAGAAAAGAAGGGATTGCAGCATGGCCATCTCCCCTGGGGGTGATTTCTTGCTTTTTGTCTCTCTCTCTGTATCTCTCTGGTGAGCACATGCACCCTAATGCAAAAATCTCTCTTGAAAAAAAATGTAAGGCCAACAGGTGCCACCTGTTAAGTGTCTAGATTCCACATGGTTGACTCTGATTTAAATCCCAGACCCAGTGGCTTGAAAAATCACACAGGCATGTGTGTATGCCCAAAATCCTAAGAGGAGAATGGAGAAAGGATTGCAGCGTGGCCATCTCCCCAGAGGGTAATTTCTCATTTCCATCTCCCCAGAGGGTGATTTCTCATTTTCTCTCCTCTCCAGCAAGCGCACATGCCCTATGGCAAAAATCTGAAGAAAAAAAGAAAATTTAGATCTATATATTTTTAAAGATTAAAAGAACTTTAAAACTTTGTTTTTCAGGTCCCTTTTGCAAGATATGTGGCAAGAAATAATATATTGAATTTAAAGCGGTAAGAAGCAATAAGGGGTTCCATTTGGTAGGTGTGGGAAAGAAACTAAGAATGTTTTATCTTCAGTGATCCTTACGCAGTAAAGAATTCTGGCTGAAAGCGTTGAGCTCAGACTGTGATCTAAAAGCCCAGCCACAGTACCCCTTTCTCTAGGCTGCCTGCCTGCCGCCCTTTCTTTAGCAGGGATGTATCAATTCGGTATCGTGACTTCCCTGTAGTCTAGTCCGTGCCTTCTCCATGTCCCCAAGCAACATAACTAATTATTTTCACAAATGGTTGTCTGAAAAACATCTGGCTATTCTTGATCACAGATGGCCCCTTTTAAACTTTAATTGGAGGACAAATGGCCAGTAGTCTCTGTGTGAAAACTGCCTACACAGGTGACCGAACAAAAGCTGCTGGCGGAGAACGGAGCGAACACC